GGTTTTGCAAAACGAGTTTTCGAGTTTTATAAAACGATCTTTGAATTTTATAAAACGATCTTCGAGTTTTTATAAAATGATCTCTCGAGTTTTATAAAACGATCTTCGAGTTTTATAAAACGATCTTCGAGTTTTTATAAAACGATCTCTCGAGTTTTATAAAACGATCTCTCGAGTTTTATAAAACGATCTTCGAGTTTTATAAAATGATCTCTCGAGTTTTATAAAACGATCTCTCGAGTTTTATAAAACGATCTTCGAGTTTTATAAAACGATCTCTCGAGTTTTATAAAACGATCTCTCGAGTTTTATAAAACAATCTCTCGAGTTTTATAAAACGATCTCTCGAGTTTTATAAAACGATCTCTCGAGTTTTATAAAACGATCTCTCGAGTTTTATAAAACGATCTCTCGAGTTTTATAAAACGATCTCTCGAGTTTTATCAAACGATCTCTCGAGTTTTATAAAACGATCTTCGAATTCTTATAAAACGATCTCTCGAGTTTTATAAAACGATCTCTCGAGTTTTATAAAACGATCTCTCGAGTTTTATAAAACTGCTGCGTTTACGCGTTTGCGGGGAATTTTGGCTATTGATTCCGTCGTACCGATTTTGACCCCAACAATAATAATAATAATAAAAGTCTTAAAAATATCGAAGCTTCTATATCAAATTCTATTATAATAAATTAATAATTAGTTCATGCAGAGTTTTAAGTCTTAAACGAAATAGAACTACCACAACATCAATATTATTTTCAAAAATGAAAAATAAATAAAGCATATTTATTTATACAAATATTATTGTAATTAAATATTAAATTAGTTTAAGTTTTCAAATATATTTTGATCAAATAAATCTAGATACTAAATCTATTCAACAAGACGAATATAGAAGAATCTTCATTTTTAAATTTAGACATACAAACTTATTTTATGTTCTAAACGCATAAGAATTCTTCAAACTTTGAAAAGTAACACGTCACAATATTGCATTTTCTTCTCAACAGATTAGTTTTTCAACAACTTGGCCGAAACCAAAACCTCATATTTCTTTTAATACATGATCAAATTATGCGTACAATATATCAATAGAAAGATAATTTGAATATCCCACATACAGTCATAAAAGATCACACAGTTGCAATCTAACATGAGAAAGATATGATTAAAACAATATTTTCAGTTTACTCAATATAATTTAAAATTAATTACTTCAATACATATCAGCTTTAGGATCCGTCTGGTAACGACTTTCGCTTTAGGCTTTTAGAATGATTTGATGGTGGTTGGGGAGACTGGCCAATTGTATAAGTCATCGTTGGTCTTTCCGCTGAATAATGGGACTTCCGAGGATAGACCCTTCACCTGAAAAGAGGCATGAAAGAATTCGAGAGAAACTTTGCTAGTATTACATAGGCGGTATACGGATATAAGGTTCTTAGGGATATGGGAAACACAAAAAAATTCTTTAGAGTAAGGTGTCTAGGGGAATAGGGTAGAGTATATGAACCAGTGTGCGTAATCAGCAGACCGGAGCCGTCGCCAATGAGAACTTTGTCATTACCGTTGTATGGATGATGGAGAGATACGTTTTCAAGGTCACTGGTGAGATGGTGTGTGGCTCAACTATCTATGATCCACGATGTCGATGGTGAAGACGGCATCATGGGAACATTGGCACGAGGCTGTTAGGGAGGAAAGTGGTTTTGATTCGACTGTATTCGCCAGTAGAGGTATAATTGCTGAGCTGAAGATAACGTCTCGTGCTATGACCAAACGTACCTGAGAGTTGACACTTCCCGTGATAGCCTACTCGCCCTCCTTTTGAGTATTTTTATCTCTGTTATTGGTGTAGCATTGAGGAAGATTGGATCGGTTCCAAGGCTGACTGGTGATATGCCATGGATTTTAACCACTTTTAGTCATGGTATATAAGAGTTTTAGAATATATTTACTACAATATAGAGTCTATTTAGAGTATTTACATGTTCAAGGACGATTTGGAAAAAAGTGGTGACTTTGGTATCTTTTAGAGTCTGGTTTGTGCAGAGATGCACAGACGCGCCAGATGTCTACCTGTGTATAGACACCTTTCCACTGTTAAATTTCGCCAATATTTTGACACAAGATATAGATTTGAGTTAGATTTCCAGTGCCACCAGTTTGAGGTTAATAAGCATCCTGTAGCATAGGTTATGTCTGTTTTACTGGCGAGTGGTCTGTCTGCCTTGCGAGATGAAGCTGTCGAGGAGATGAAGGAGTATCGATCCACGACACTGACTTAGTGTCGATCGGTGGCGATCCAAGAATGCGGGCTGAGTATATTTCAAGACCAAGTTAAGCCCTTAAGCCAACATAAATTACCAAGATACCCCTGGACGAATTGAAACCCTATATATGTGTTTTCTAAGCCATTGTTGACGGCTGCTAT